GTATCCAGTATTTGTACACATTTCGAGTGAAATCCGTAAATTTTCCGTAAGTAGGAACGCACCGTTTTTTCATTTTTATATCACGCTGTATGCAAAACTGTTGTGACTGCAAAGTATTTCTTTATAATATTTAACGTAATAGTATAACAATTATTTACATTATGAAAGAAAATCTCTATATTATTATGACACCTATCATCGGTTAAAAATTTTTTTGCATGTGCCATGAGGAAACTGTAACAGTAGTGTTAAATGCACATGAAGAATTAAAAAAAAATTACAAAGGGAATAGAATATTGAGAAAACTGAAACAGAGAATTTACTACAGAAGGGAGGTTTTAAGCGGAACATATAATGGAAACAGAGAAAAAATATTTCTTTAAAGAGTCGGTAGATTGGCGCTTTGATAAATTAGAATTGCTCTTTATAATTTTTATATTTAACTTTGATTAATTTATCGTTTCTCTATTTCGTTCTCTATTTTTTGAACGCGTATTAAATAATGTTAAAACATATTTTAAATTATTTAATAGTATATAATCAATTTTTATAACAATTAATATACCTAATAGTTTTTTATATTTTCATCTTTATGTCACGCTATATCCAAATCTGTGTTGTGATTGCGAAGTATTTCTTTATAATATTTAATAAGTAATGTAAAAACATTAAAAATAATTAAAAAAGTAATTTTCACACTATTTGTTTTAGAAAACATTAAGTTTGAAGAAATATGAAAAAATTACTTATGTATAATGTATATAAAATTATGTTTATTCTGTACGAGCAATTTTTTTACATTTTTCCAAACTTGTTTTTTTCTAAAACAAATAATAATCTACAATTATCCCTTTAGTTATTTTTTATGTTTTCACATTATTATTATTATTTCTATTACACTAAAAAGTAATTTTACCAAAAAAAAGATTTATGAATATATATGGATATATTTCATTTAATATTATATATATATTTATGATTATTTATACATGTTTATATATATTTATACATAATTATGCATATTCATGCATGACAAATTTTTTCCGGATACTACGCGAAAAAACCTTGCGTTATTATTGTTGTATCATTTATATCTACTAATTTGTATTATATGAAAATATCTTTATTAGAAAAATTTTAAGTTTGAAAGTATCTTGGGATTTTATGTCACTTATTTTGTTGTAAATGTATTTTGTCAATCAAATGAATAAGCTACAATCCATTATGTTAAAATTGATGCAATGAATGTTCAAGAATTAATTATTTATATGTTTTATTAATTATTAGTCATATGTAGTATTGCATTTTATATATTCATACATATATATTTACATATACATTAATATACACACACATACACACACACATACACGCGCGCGCGCGCACGCGCATATTTTTTCTTTGCATCACTTTATAGCATATTTAATCTTGGATGAATATTTGGGAATGGAATTAAGGAAAATAAATGCATAACTAATTTAATTATAAGTTTTGCTGTATCAAAATATTATTTATTGTTATGTCACATATATTGAATATGTAAATATTCTATACTAATTTAAAAATAAAAAAAATCTGTGGAATTCTTCGAATTTAAAAATTCATAATATTTTGTTTATACAAAACTTTATTTTTTCTTTACTTCTTCATTATTTATTTCATCAATTTTAATTTGAAAACTAATTATTTCAGTAATTTATTTCCACCAAGCTTATTTTTATTAAAATGCAGTTGTATATAAATATTTTTTCTGATTTACATTGTTAATAAAGAAAAGAATTTTTGTTCAATATTTATTAAAAAATTTTATTATTTCTAATATGTGTGAATTAAATAATGATTAAAAAAAAATTAAACGTATTTATATTCTTACTTAATTTATTAATATTATATAATTTATAACACTAACTCATCATTGAATTCTATTTTATTTTCTTTTTTTATATGTATACTTATTTAAATACCCAGGAAAAATATTATGTATATTATAGACATATATTATAATAATTATATATTATATAATTGTATAGAAAATATGTCAATTTTTAATATAATTATATATAATTTTATATAATTATTTATGAAACATTTTTTTTCCGGGTATAAACATAATAGCTTCAAGCGCAATAGTGCACCAAGACATTGATCAAGTTGACAAATAATGATAGACAAATCCAAGATTAAATATGTATCATAATCGTTTGTAGCTAATCCATTTTAAAATAATGGATCTATAAAGCGTTATATTCATTTCTAATATAATGATAAATCTGTACATTTTTCACAGATTCGTTACCTGATAAAATCTTTGTCACTCACCAACTGATGCCCCGATCTCTCAGGACAGAGCCGTGGAATGTCTCTATTATATTTACACCTTCACTAACTGGCTAATGGTTTGATCTCGGCCGAGGTGGCTGCGTACCAATAAAAGAAGAAGGAAGATCAATTGATGCACAGTGGAGTTATCAGCTACGTTGTTACATGATTCTGTAACATACAAATACAAGATACAAATTAAAATAGCATTCCAAATAAGCAATGATTAAAAAACTAATTTTTATACACATTGAATTTTTTAATAATTTTTCAATTATATATCCATTAAAATAATTATACATTTTCTCAAAATGATCTTCATGAAAATAAATTTCTGGTTTAGATTATTTTTTTTTTTATTATTATTTGTAATGTAATAAAATAAGCTTGCTTACCGCAAAGTTGCTCTATTGCTTTTCCTGAACCTCCTCCTCCTCACAAAATTGCCAAGCCTGCTTTTCACCTCTGTTCTCTTCCCATTGTTTGCTTTGTGATAACACCTATCAGTTGAAACAAATAATTTGTTAAAACTAAATATTGTATGTCATATTTTGTTCGTATAGTCGATATTAATTAGACGTGATATAATTCATGGTGCAAGCAAAAAAATAAGAACGCAGGAAATTTGTTATGTTCGATACTCGCGATACTTTATAAATAAAATTTGGACATTGGAACGCACCTAAAATGCATCAAAAGATTTTTGGACAGTTGACTACGCATGTTATTCGACTGCACGAATATTATGAAATACGTGCTCGAACGAATTATCCGCATACTAGTGTTAAATTTATATTAACAATTATTAGATATTTTAAGAATTAGGCATAAAATTAATGTAATATATTTTCCTTACCAATTCAATAAGTCACAACAGCACTCATTTGGAATCGACTCATCTTGTATCCGCCGCATTCTATAAATAAATAATGCACTTAATGTGTCGAAGTGATTTCGTCTGTCGCGCAATCAATTTCACACATTAAGAGCACCGTCGCGACACGGTGGCAATCCTTCTCTTTGTAAATATTGAATTTATATTATAATTGCGCGAACTAAATATTGCAATAAACGACAAAGATTTAATAAGTTTCAATTATCATGTGATCACGATGCCAATCGTCTCTTGATCACATCTATACTTTACAGATTGAAATGTGTAAATGAAACATAATTAAGATGGCGAAGGGTTTTTGCGGCTAACTTCGCGTGCCAAAAGCGACACGGACGACGCGGCGCAATGACGCTGCACTTTTCACTCTTGGTGTCGCGTTTATGAATTTTCCGTATTTCGAGCATCAGATCCGGTATCCGATATCGATCTACAATACGGAAATAATCATCATAAAAGACGAGCGCATGTATTATAATAGATATATGCTTATAATAGATATTCGTCTTTTATATTTATTACTTTCGTAGTGTAGTTTGATGTTAGAAAATCTTATTGACAATTATTCAAGCAATATAATTTCGGCGAACAAATTTTATGAAATACGCGTTTGAACGGATTATTAATATACAAATATACAAATACTGAATCTATATAATCACCCGATAGTTAAATATCGATAATATATATTTAAGTTATACATTCAGGTTTTATATAGGTTTTAATTACCGTATTTGATTGCGTTGCCACACGTTTGAGAGCGAGTCCATTCCGCCTGTCATCTCCTATCCGTCGCATGTCGCGAATGAAATGTGAATGCAATCAAAATGGAGAAGCGGCGTCGTTTTCCGTGTGCGGTCAACTTCACGCGTAAAAAGCGACACGAGACGCGACAACACGACCGCGCGACTTTATTTTCGACTAAACGAGTAGGATTGAGAAAGATACTTTTATCCGTGTATAATCCGTGAATAATCAGTGTGTTAATACTATATTAGACTCTACAGTACGCGATATTTAAACTGTTATAAGAAGTAAAGGCAAAGTTAATTATTGATTACCTTAATAAATAAATCCAACGATGGACGATTCCTTTGTGCTGCTTCTAGTCGTTTGATGTTTTCTGAGAGATTCTATGCAGAGCTCGGAAGAAATGGAGAAAAACAATTGATTCGAAGCAGGGTTGCGAACTTTTTCAACGTTAAAATGACAGGACGTACCCCATCCCCTGCTCGAATCGCAAAAGCGTGGAGGTGGAAATTACGCGGTATTTATAATAGCCGTCAGGCTGCGAACCCCACCACTCGCACGCCAGCCAATGAGCGCGTTGCTTCGCTGCGGGCGCTCATTGGACCGCACTAGCTTTCGGATTATAGTATATAAACGCTACGCGTGAAAAATCTCAGTCTTTTTCGGAATTTGAAGCTGTGCGTTTCGTCGAGATAGGGAAGAATCGCATTCGGCTTGCACTTTTATGATGCATTTCGTACATAGTTCACGTTACAATGAAAAATTTCAAACAAAAGCGCATATGAAAACGCATTCTGAATACAGATTAGAAATGATATTTTAAAAAATGTTTCATTTTGTTCATGATTTAAATTAGAATTTATATTATACTTTTTAAAATAATTTAGCACGTGATTTATAGTACTGCGATTTAGTAAGACTCGCATTTATTTTCGACACCACGATTTTATCGCCAATACGTAATTATATACGTAGTTTCCAAATTAAAAATGAATGTATTGGCGCTAGTGTATACTGTATGGATGATTTTGACAGGCTATGTAAAACGTCGGGCTGATTCCTCTCAGGTTTCTTTCTGCTTGTATGGAGTTCGTTGAACTAATAAGTGGTTATGTTGTCTTTTATGGCGCGTGAGTGTCATTCAAGTTTGTTTACAAATTTTCGGAGCTGTGTATATCTTTGTGATGCGGCTTGTCGACGGCGAATTGGAAATGATTAATCACCATTTATAAGCGCTAATCGGACACATAATATATGCTTCGTATAACAAACCTTTCGTAAATACACGCTACAAGAAATTGAACCTAACCTAACCGGTACGCGACGCTGGCTGTTTCTCCACTGTACATAAACATCAATGCCGGGACGCTTTGCGAGCGCTTTGCAAATATCGACTGACCTGTGGTAGTTGCTTAATAATTTGCTACCGGTGGCAGACGATTGTTTAGATGGATAATGAGCGAGTCCGATGACACGGATGTTTTGCTCCTGATCCCGCCTGACATATTCCACGTACCGTCTTCCGACTCTGACACCAGCTCGAGCAATCACGTCAGAACGGATTGCGGGAAGACCGGTGTTATCTCGGAGCTGGTGGGACATATGCAATCATTGGAGTTTCGAATTTCCGCGATCGAGTCCAGAGATAATAGCCTGGACATTTCTGCGCCAAACAGTTTGCTTAACGACTCTCAGTTAATCCACGGCAGTGCGTCCTATCCTTACCAACGGCAGACCCTACCTAGAACTAGGTTCTCCGTAAGTCAAGGATCCAGCTTGCAAAATTCCCCTGTGAAGCTGCGTAAATCTCTATCCGTTCCTTCCACTCCCAATGGATATCCGTCGCAGAGCTGTACTAACTTCCTGAAGAAAGACGCGAGGTCATCTGGGTGTCATCCTTCGACAGCTGTTACTTCTAATTCAACTAATACTAACACTCTTACTCGGGTTAAGCATGATGTTTTAACTTCGTACACTGATTCCTCTGTGGTACCTCCTGCTTCCTGTGGTACTGGGCCCTCGCATGCCACTGTTATGTCTGCGACAAAGGACTCCTATTTGTCTCTTCGACAGAATGATTGTATGAGTAACTTGTATTGTAAACCCCATAATTCCTTGCATTCAATAGTACCTATGTCAAACTCATCTAATACATCAACAGGTCAGCTGCTACATCCCCGTTCTAAAGTAGTACAAGAGATGGAACTATCAGAGGTTGACGAGTTACTCCAAGAAATGGAAGCTACTGAATTAGAATTATCGAAAAGAATAAATAACACTAGTGGATATCAGTATCGCAATGAATCACTTCATCCAACGCTATCAACTGAAACTATTAATAATGCAAGTAGTCAAGAAAAAGAAGCACATCATAAATTTGATGTGCATCGTAAATTAGATTTTCAATGGGAGAACAAAGATACTCAACTCACTGATACTTCATCAATCTTTTCTCAAAAAAAAACAAATAATACATTCCCTGATATATCATTATCGTACAATGATTCATTCCATGCAAATGAGACTGATAAAATGATTTCTGAATTTAAAACATGGGAACGAAATGTTCAGCCTGTTATAAAACCAAATGGATATACAATACAAAATACAAAAAATATAGATCATTTATTTAATGTATCAGCTACGATTGACAATATTAAACCAAAGGAATTAGTGTCAGAATCAAATGTTCAAATGATAGATGAAATAAACACAAACAGTATATATACCCCATCAAAATCTTCTGTTACAAATACTGTGTCACATATTAATGATTCAGTTAGGCTTTCTGGTATGATGCCATCGAAAACTATACAATGTAATACAGAACCTTTAGATCTTTGTAAAATATCACAGGGTAATGAAAATTTACACGATAAAGAAAAATCTAGTTTTAGTAAAAATACTGTACACGTCGGAACAAATACGGATCTTTATATAAGGTATCTTATAAAATTTTTTACGTATAATATTATATATTAAAATTTTTTAAATATGTATATTGAGTAAAATATTACTATTCAAGGAGAATTTTAATGCAAATTATAATATTATAATATTATTAATGAATTATTACAAAATTATTACAGAAAATGTCAACGACTTTTATCACTTTCGGATTTTTGGGATTCTAATCCAACTAGATCACAAGAAGAAACGCTTAGAATCAAGATAGAAGAAGAGAAATTTCGCAGAGAGGTATTGTAAAACTACTACACTGTAGTAAGTATATGGCATAAGAATAATATAATTTATTTTTTATTTTTATTTATTTTTAGCATTGCGAGCATCTGATTCAAGAACTTCAGAAGCGTTTGTTGGAACAACAGGAGAAAGTGGCAGTAGCAGTTAGAGTAGACAATGAAAAAAATGTCCTGATATCTCAATTTCATGTATCCTGGTCTAAATTAAAGCAGCAAGTCGAAACATTAAAAGTTGAGCATAAAAATTCACAGACTAATTTGCAAAATATCACAGAAAAGCATCAGTCTGAGATGTTAGAACTTCAAACACAAGTTAAACGGCTGGAAGGAGAGTTATCGAAAGCTTTAGATTTGGCAGCTGGATATAAAGAGAAGAGTGACATTATGATCAAAGAGAAAGTTGATCTGTTAAAAAATCATGCAGACGAATTAGAAAGTTACAAATCATTGGTTCAAGAAGCAGAAAATAGATATGAGAAAATGAAGATAGAATTTAATAAGTTGTTAGAGAAGAACCAACAAAACGAAGAAATATTAAGAACTGTTCAATCGGAATTGAATAAAGAACGTTTGAGGGGAGGAGAAGTTCGAAATGAGATGGGTGTTATTCACAAAGCATTAGATACTTGTGAAGCTGAGTTGATAGTACTCAGACAAGAAAAAGAGAGTTTGCAACTTAAGCTTAAAGAAGAGATAAATAGAAATTCTATTTTGGATCAGAAAAATTCATTGTTGCTCGTATCCATTGACGACGCTAAGAAAGCAGAAGTAATATATATGTTGAATTATTTGTCATAGTTATCAAATTTTATAATTTTATTAACCATATATTTATTAGTGCTTATTGTTTCAGAAATTAGCTAAAGATGAAACCAAGTCTGTTGCAGAACAAAAGGAAAAAATCAGAGCAGAATTACAAGAGGTTTATCAGAAACAAGTGGATGAGGTAGTAAAAGCAAAATTGCAAGAATTTCAAATGCAACTTGATAATGCCGAATCAGAATTTTTAGAGGAATTAAAAACAAGACAGCAAGTTATAGCTGAATGCGCTGCTAGGAAGATAAAGGATGTTATCGATAAGTTCGTTCCTTATACATTTTTATATAGCAGCGCTATATAAATATGTACAATAAAATATGTACAATTTAATCTTCTAAGTTATATACATAAGTTATATATTGAATTTTTTTAGACATCGTTTAGAAATAAACTTGCTAGAGGAAAAACATAAAGAGGAAAAACGATTATGCGAACTACAATTAGCTCAAGCTTTACAGAGATCATCTCTATTAGAAAAGCATTTGAATTCTCAACGTGCGTCAAAATCTCAACTTGCGGAACAATTGCATTCCGTTATGCAAAAACAATGGCAACAGGCTCTACACATTATATCAGGTTAGTCACAGAATATGTTCGAATTTACATACAATTACTTGTTAATATCATCATGATTATAACACTTTTGTGCATAAATTAAAAAAACTATTATTACAGGAAGTAACATGGATAATATTTCTCCGATTCAAAAAATTCACGGAGATAAATGTTTTGATTCTAAAGGTCCTAAAAAATCAGAATCAATGCCAAATTGTTACACTAAACTTTCTCAGGAATTAATAAAACATACTGCTCAATCGTTAGAAGCACGTAATTTAATTAATGCACAACCTGTTGAAGATCATAACGAAAGCGCGGTAACAATGAATTCCATCGAAAATGCTCCATTAACCAATAGAAATGAATCGAAGGATGATCTACGAAAATATGTGAAAATGGTGATTGATATTCAGATGGTAATCTTAAAAAGATACTCACGATCAAACGTAAACAAATTTTTTTATAGATTGCAGAAATGCAGTTAGCAAGAGAAGACAAAGATCCAAAACTCAGAAGTAGTATTTCGAGTCCGCCATTAGGATGCAGAGAGGTACCGCGGAAACATTATTTAAAAAAGGAATTGAGTATGAGTGAGGATAGCGTCATGTGGCAACAAAGTCCCGAGGTTTATTTATTTAAAATTTGATAATTAAGACACATATATGTATATATAGGAATAATATATCATTTTCTCTGCTAGACTATACACGATATTAGTGAACATATACCACTTCCGCAAAAAATGCTTACAAAAATAGATCAGAAGAACAAGCCTCCTTGGAAATGACATACAACTTGTGATGACAATGATTTCGAAGGCATAGATGAGCTCGATTATGGCAACTGAATTCAGAGTACAGTGTACTTAATTAGCAGTAATAAATTTTTTTATATGGAACAAATATCAATCTATTTTTCTGCAAGACGAAAATTGAATAAAACATTTTTTCATATACTGTATTGATTTGCTTAAATTTTTACATTTTCTTTTCCTATTTTCCCATCGCGAGATACAACATTCAATACCATTTAAAATAAAATGACCGACGATAATTTTTCTCGGTTGTGTTTTGATATGTAAATGGCATTTAGATGGTTTTATGTACATTTACTTATTTTGTCTTTTGCAGTTTTGGAAAGATTTATAAAATGATTGTATAATATTATATATCGATAACAGAATAACATAAACTTAACAAAACATATTATTATTGCTTTATATAAACTTTGAACATTATAATTTATATTAATATTCATATAACTATTACAAGTACATTTTGTTAAGATATATTTTTTTTAAGATAACCTCTTTTTAATCTTTTAATCATTTCTTATTTCTCTTTCAACTAATTCCTAAAAGCATTAACCTAACACTCACTATTTTTTTATATTAAATATCCGACGCCTTCAATTTTTATCATAACATTAGTTTTTGCGTTCCGAAATATTTTCGTAAGTGTGATTGTCATAGAGGAAAAGGATGTGTGATAAAATAATAAACTGACGAATTGATAATAAGTTTATCAATGTAGCAGATTGTTTGGCGTACAGCAAGTATAATTAAAAATATATTTTTATGTGCATACATATATACATTTATATTTGTGTTCCTTTTTCTGTAAAATGTAAAGGATTCTAAAGACATATTTCCTATAAAATACGTAGCATCTCTCTCATTTATGTATGAAAGAAATGTACATTACGAAAAACACTTGGCGTAAAAGGCTACTCTTGATAGATATCATAAAAATTGTGTAATCATTTAATAAACAAATTACGCAGTCTAACAATTTGCAGTCAAAGTGTCGATAAAGTTATTTTGCTCAAACAACTCTCATCCCAGATGATAAATTTAGTTTGTGGTTTACTTACAGGGAAGCAACACACACTAAACTTTTAAACTTACAATTAGATAACTCGATCTGAATAACCAGATCTGAAATCGTGAATTTGACGTCATACTTTTTTATTAGAGGAACGAAAACAAAAAGTTTCGAGCTATCTAAAGAGGACAACTTAATTTTCAGTTACAGTAATATGTAAGCTTTAATATAATAAAAAAAATTTTTTATTTTTTTATATTTTTTTATCTCAAGCTATTATAACAATTATACATTCTTTTTTTTTTAGTAAATTGAAATAATGCAACTAAATGTAAAATATATATAGAATATAAAATAAATATATTTATCTTTATTTTATTAAAGATATCTTAAAAATTATCTAATTATTATTAACTAATTATTATTAAAAAATAAATATATTAATTATTATTTTAAAAAAGGTGCATATAATCCATATTTCTGTATAGCTTAAATTTCTACATAAATTTCATATAATTAAAATATAAAATTAACTATAATCAAATATAATCAGAATTCGTCATATATACACGAATGAAATTTTTCGTATCAATATCGTATGTTAAACACGTTTACTTCGAGTAGGTTGCTGCATATTAATATAAAGTTCAAAGAAATATTGTACTATTACCGAATCGATTTTCAATTGTGCATGGTGAATAATAATCAATACGTATGTATCACTTAAACGACATAAAAAATTTCTACAAAATAAATCTATAAATTATTGTTATTTTTGGCTTTATTATTTACTTACAAACACATATTTATTATTTATTATTACAAACACAATACTTTCGATGATATTTCAGCCTCAAAAACATTACCTTCAGTACTTTAAAGTTATTACTAAAAGTAAAACCATCTCTCAAAAATCTTATGTATCCATTTTTTTACAAAATCGTTTACTTTGACAACATCTCAAAAGTAATCAGAAAAAATGTTTTGCTAAAACCAGCTAATCAATTCACATATTTTTAACCCAATAAAAAAACAATAAGTTAATGCATAAGTAAAGTGCACCGATTACACATATTGCTATTTTTTTATCCTAATTTGTACATGTCATTATATATTCGTATACATAATGAATACATTGCGTTGCATCGTCACGTCCAATGTATTCAAATTAATCAGTGCTAAGTGTGTTATTGTTTAATGAAGATATACCTACGCATGCTATATGAGTATATCTATGCATACTATACAAATTAAACTATGTATACATCTCATTTAAATATATATACATATATGTATAAAAATATATATTATATGTATAAAAAAATTAATATAAACTGACATATTATACGTGTGTATTCCTTTGCTAATTCACATTTGAATTATAGAAATATTTTTTGTATTGTTATATCGAAATGCACATTATATTATTTAAAATATATGAATTAAAATAAAATTTATATGTTTATTTATTTCTTGTAAATTGATTTGAATAAAATTGTTACAATCATATCGATAATCAAAAAATTATCTCTATTTCTGCAATCCCTATCTTTATGTGTGTGCATTATATTATTTTACTTTGTGTATTAATTTTGTGTTTTTTTGTAAAATCATCATGTCGATGACTTATCATTAGTACGAATATAATTCAACTCTTTCACGAGAAATAACTGTCATAAACTTCACAATCGTGAAAGGATCGCAAAAATCTTGCAGACGAGGTCTTTCACTGGTCCCAGTCAGGAACAAAGCCAGAGAGAACAGGACAATTGAGAGAAACCGAGTGACTCGGGAATATAGCGTGTCTCTTTAGCTATAAACGGCGATCACGCCTACGAGTCCTGGGTTCCAGCCGGCGCTAGTTATGAGGATTGTACGTGCGGAACAAGTTGCCGATTGAAAACGAAGGAACAGCAAGAATGCAAAGGGAGGAACGTGATAGTGGCCACCCCCTCTTCGTCCGTGTAATAGTCATGAGCCGCGCGTCCGTTCTTCGTACATTCGGTATGTACGTGGCCTCTAGTCGCTGAGCAAGCCCCGACAGTCAAGGAGAGACGTCGCGCGCGAACCAGCCGATCAGCTTGTACCGTTTATTGTGAGCGGAATCTGAATGCACGGTAAAGATGCATCCCGGAACGAGACGACGTTCGGGATTCTACTGGTTGACAATAACGTTGCTTATCATCGGATTTCTCATCGGCGACGCCGGCAGTGTTTGGAAGAGACGGGAGGATAAGACTAAGTGCCCAAAAGTGAAGGGAATACGGAACTTTGACATATCCGAGGTATAGAATCTTTTGCAATTTACAATCGAAAGAATCAAACGATTTTTCCGATTCATACATTTTAAATGAGAATTGTTTACACTTAAACATTTCATGTATAATAAATACAAAGATTGTCTCATGTATGTATAATGATAAATTTGAACTCTTCCTTGTTTCCGGAACTGTGGATTCCAATTATATAAAATTTTGTATCGCTTTTAAAAGAATACATATATATATATTAGGTGTTGGAATTAATTCGTAGCGTTTTTAATGAAAGAATGTTATTTATTTCACATGAGCATTAAAAAATACATTAATGAAAGTACTTCCCATCTCTTGTAAAACGCTACGAATTAATTCCAACACCTAATATATATACTTAATGTGACTATAAAACATCTATAAAATTTTTACATTCTGAAATCGCGAATATTTATTAATTTTTATAATTTAATAAAGAATTAGATTTTCTCGGAAAAGTCTTTAAAAAAATCGAGTCTACTTCTTCGAAAGAAATAAGTTACATTATAATTAAGTTTTATTAAAAAGTCTTTATAATATTACAATTACTTCTATAATTCAAAATTAACTCTTGTGTTAATTGTAAAACTTGAAATTGTCATCAAAATCAACATTTTCACCATTAGTAATGATTTAAGCGTATTTTTGCCGCTTCATTTAATTGATTTATGTAAATTAGATGGAGTGCATTTCATTCAACGTTCGATATTGATGCGAAATAATATGAAGTATACTGAATTATACATCGCTGATGTGATTTCGGAAATGGATAATGAACATTTACTATTGCCGAATATGTCAGTTGAATATTAATTATATGGAACATAATTCACAATTATTCATTAGGATCAATGTGCAATAGCGATCGTTTACCGTATAATTAACAGTAACACATAATTTGACATGAAAGTAGTAAAAGCTGTCAAACATATCTATACATATTATATTAGTATTCCCAGTAGTTAGTATTCCCTAGTAAACCGCGAATAAATCTAACACACACTACATTGTTAACTTTTAAAGAGGTTTTGAATTAAATGTATTAAAAACTTAATAACTACAGTATACAGAGAGAAAAATTGGCCACATTTTGATGACCAAGAACGAGATATATTTTGCTTTAATTTATGAATTTTAATAGCAATTTTAAGGAAATAAGAGTTGACAAATGGCTTTACAGAATATAAAGTACTTTTGCTAAATTTATGAATGCTTAATTCACGTTTAATTTCTATAGGAAGTCCATTTTCGAAATTATATCATTTACAAAATTGTATCAATTAAACCTATCACTTTTTTTTAAATAGTCGTACAGCTTGGCAATTCTGTTTTAAAAATGAAAAATCAATTGATCTAATTTTCTAATGTATAATAAAGTTGGAATAGAAACTTGACAATAAATGCAGTTGCAAATTATAATATTTAATATTTAACAATGTATGTATTTATTTATTTAATAAATTTTAAGAAGACAAAAAGAAAAAATGAGGAGAAACCATTTTACAAGAATACTACTTTGAAACTTTATAATATATATTATTTGCGAATATGGAATAATAGAATTTAGCAGTACTTGCGTAGACTTTCTTTCCAGAGCAACGTTCGGCGAATTTATTTTTAGATTTGATATGTATTTATAGGAAGACTACAGACGTGCTCACATAGAAGCGACAATTTCCGTTAGTTTGCTTTTGTCATAAATGGTGATATGTACTTTAAGTGAAGTGGATTATATTGCAGATGCGTTTTAATTCTTATATGAATTTTGGAAAATTATAAAATAATTAAAGCACGACACTGCAACTTACATTTAAATAAAGATTGTGTCTTTCTTTATGAACATAATATAGATAGTTTAATTTCAAACTATTCCTGTTTTATTGTTATTGGCACTTAGATTAAAATTTTAATGAGTTCGAAAAGATAAAAAAATTTTATATATATTGAAAATATTATTTTTAAACCGGGTGTGACTTTATAAGAGATAGACTCTAAACCCCAATACATATATCCTGTGATAACCCAAAACTTTGAAGTGTCCCACGTTTCCGTTATAAGTCTCATTAATTTGTTGCATGTTTTTGTAGATAAGATAAAGCGTATATTTTTGTACTTTTTCAGTTTTATTTTTTAGTAGTGATAAATGAGAATTATTATTTTATATGAAACTTATTAATAGAATTTCTTTATATATTTAGCAACAGTTAAACATTATTATAAAAATAAATTTCTTATAAAAAAAATCAAAGCAAATCAAAATAAATGTTACTTCAAAATTTAATGTATTGAATATAGTAAAAGTTCAATTTATATAAATACATTTAAATGATATAATTAAACAATATAACACATTGTGAAAAGTAAAAAAAAGTCAAATGAATTTATAAGAAATACAAGAGAATTTCAATGAACCATGTCTTTGAATGGAAACGAAGTGATAATTATTTGGAAAATTTTTGAACGTATTTCTAACGCCGTTTACTATCGAGTGCGATCGCTTGACCCGTTGACTGCACACATTTATTAGCATACGTTAGCGCGAATAAAATCGGCGTGGTAAACTGTTGTGTCTATTTCACGCGTGACTTCACGCCTACATGCATTTGCACGTAACAGACATCTTGCGCTTCTTGCAGTTTCTCGGATTGTGGTACATAGTACAGTACTATGCAAGCTCAGAGGAAGCCCTCGTGTACAGATGCATGAGAGCCGAGCTCTCGGTTTCGCCTGAAAACGCTGAAGTTACCATGAATTTCACTTACAGCTTTACTGACGATCCTATTAACGAGCTGCTCGTTGGTAACATCACGTGGAAAATCCCTTCGCCGGACTTACCTGCTCATTGGATGCACGCTGAGTTACCATGTAAACACAGAGTTACTTATCTCGCAATAATCTAATTTTTTTCAATTTTTTTATTGTAATAAAAAAAAGTTTCATATTTCATTTTGCTCTGTTTTTATGATTTATTCTAATTTAATTTCAAAATTTTAATTAGTTAATTCTTTTCAGTCAATTTTTTCTTTTATTCATTTTTTAAAAATTAATTTATCATAATGTTAAACTGGATCCAGATTAAGCAAATGACAATAAACAATTTACATTCGTGATACCATTCGATTTTCCTTGAAACAAGTTGTTTATTTATGTTTGCTCATGTCATTAATCTGAAAGCCAGCTCTAGATGTAAATTTCTTGCAAGATATACTCTCTGAAAAATATATTTTCTGAAAGAATCATTAATTATAATAATTTAATTTGGCAAAAATAAATACTTATTTTTCATAGAATTATTTTATAAGGCGAGTTCGATATTTTCCAGACGAAGGAGTGTATAATACATACGTATTAGATTCGGATTATAAATCGTGGGCGTTACTAATGCATTGTGCTGAAAAGAGTAAAAGCCCAAGATATTTATCTAGCTTCATCATGAGTCGTGAAGCGAGTCTCGGGGCAAATGTCATTTCTTATCTTCGAGAGAAACTGCCTAGGTATATTTCTCTTAATATTATTCTGATTACAATACAATTGTTTCTCTAGATCTTATTAAACATATATATATCTTTCGAAAAATTTTTTACAATAATTTTTTTAATACTTCAATATAAGATATGAATACAATTTCGTTAATTTTAAAATCGTTAATTTTAAAAGTCGTTTATTTTTAAGATGATGTATTTAAAGATGATGTATGAAAAGGAAACGATAATTTCTTGAATTAAATTTTTATGCATGCCAAACGTTTGTTTTAGAAATTAATAAATAAAGAAATTAATAAATAATTGAAAACTTGAATTAAAACAAATATTATATTGTATTATTTTTTGAGATTAAAAATAAAATTTTTAATACATAGATATGACATTGACTTGGAGTACATGTTCCCTATGGACCAAAAGCAGTGCAATAAGACGAATTCGGAAGATATGCTTATACCGGCAGTGGCACCAGCTAAAAGAAGGCATATCACCAGAAGGCATCCATTGAAACGAAAACATAGAGGCCAATAAATTTCGCTCAAATCAAACATCTCTTCGTTACTTTGGGCTAATTTTATTAATTCAATTAACAACGTGTTATAATATTCTTCGTCTCTTCCTCTTATTTATAATTACATAATTATAATGAACATGTTATTGTTTTTCTTTAGACCCGTCGTCTCTCTCAATATCTTAGCACAATTCATCCAAATTAATTGAGACACATGCCGCAGCACGTACGGTCATCATGATCACTGTCATCATTAATCATCATCATCGTTATCATTAGCGTAACAGTCGTCAGATTATCACTCAACGCACCTAGTACTTAATTACTAGATATGGCAGCTACAACTTATAAGAAATATTACAAAATCACTTGTGATTCATGCTTCTCGCGTTTTCGCAATGTTTTACGCATACGAACGCTATCACACCGACGGGCAACCTTTTTTTCTTGTGCGAGCATTTTCGTTACTCGGCAAATTCATATCTGGCTTTGTAAAAATCTCTTTCTGTCCGATGTTATAGTTACCGGTCCTCGCAAACGTGACATTGCGTGACGATATCGTGACCCTCCCCTTCGTTTATATGCGTTTCTAAAATATATAATAATCGTGCGCTTCTGCCACGATCGGTTCGTGTTATCCTGCTATGGTCGCGCGGAATAGGAAGAACGCATCAGGGGAGCGAGACGCAAGCCTATATAAATTCGCCTATATGTTTCGAGATCGTTGCGACGACCGAGAAAGAGAGAGAGAGAGAGAAAGAGAGAGAGAGAGAGAGAGAATGAGAAAGAGAAAAGCAGACTGTGAAGTCGAAACTCCAACAGATCCGTGATAAACGCAACGTTGTCAACTTTAAACTATCATACCACGCCCGCATGTATACACGCATTCATTCCTTCGTTCTACGAGCATATACATATGCAAATCACCTATTAGTCTCCTAGTAATTTTTTTAATATTAATTAGTCGTACATTTAATTTTTTTTTAATCCTTTGTAAATTAATTACCTAATTTTTAAATCTGTATATTGTAAACCTGCACTCGCGCGCATGCGACTGCGTGCGTACGTAATGTGCGTATGTATGTATATTGTGTGCGTGTGTAGACAAGTGGGCGATGTGAGTTGGTGTATGGGGACGCGTGGATGCACGTGTGTACTTCTCTACTGAGAAGAGATGTGTGTCATTATTTCATATAGCTGGTAAACTATCTATTTATCTGAAATTTACGTTTTATAAATATCCTATAAGTAGATTCGCGTTTTTGTCATTTCGTCATTCGATTATACGCTTTTGTACGAAGGTGTAAGTAATACGAACCGAGTGACATTATAGTTTTGACGTGTGCCCATATGTGTATGTATGTTATGTATTTGCGTGCGTGCGTGTGTTGCGTACCTGCGTGAGTATGTGTGTATGTAAATGAATGTATGTCTTGTACAAACTTAAATAATCTTATACAAGCGCTTCCGAATAAGCACTTGTATAATTCTCACTGTCGGATCGGTATCCGCCGTCTATGCATTCGTCCGGGATTTGCAGTACGGCTTCGTGTGTTTATATATATAGGAAATATAAGATCGTCAGGTGCATATTTGATTTTGCGACCGAGGAGTCTCGTGAGCAACGACGAATGGCAATAGGATGGGCGAGTGCACGAGCGAGCGAGCGGACGAATCGTTTCGCCCCGACGGCGATCTCGATTGTCAAAAGTAGAAAGGTGAGAGAAGTTCGGCGGGCGATAGAGAGAGAAAGAGAGACAAAGGAAAAAAACAAACGACAATCAATTGCGAAAGAAGCGCTTGCGTATATGCGTAGATTCGTCGCGGTAGTAGAGGTAGCCGCGACGAGAGATGAACACTCGTTAGATATTAGCAGAAGTACTAGATGAAACCGGCGAAGTTCTCTACTGCTTAAAGTTACTGTTAAATGACGGACGGCCGGCAGCACACCAGTTCCTATTATTCTTCTATTGTTCTTCTTTTTCTCTTTTGACTAAACGATCAGAGAAACGCGAGTTTCGATTATTGCGACAGGACCATCTTTCGCTATATATACACATACATTATTCACACACAAACACGCATACATACATACATATACATACATACGTATATATATATATACACACACACACACACATACATTATATTCATGAGCACTGCCGTGCCGCACGAGAGAGATCTCTAGTTTCTTTTCGTTAAGTAATTACGATAAAATATGATTGGAGGCAATTACAGTTTACGGAAATCGATAGATTCCGCAGATAAAGGGTACGAAGATGCAGCCGCTCGGTTGATGTCCGCGCGAAAATATAACGACTATTGTTTCTCGTTTTTGGTTTTCCACATTCTGCGCGACGTTCTTTGATCCTTGTTATCGCGTTGCCGTATCACTGCACATAGTTCGCGTTCGTAAACGTGATTGCCTTGAGCGTGGAATCACGAGAAATTCGTATGTGAATTCGTCGAAACCGTGCCAGGAATGTGTCGAAAGAAGCGACAAACTGCGCGGAATAAAAGAGAAAGACACGCATTCGTTCAGCAGTCTCGTTTCAAAAGAAGTCCCAGCTGGTCAGTGTTGCTCTTTGTCTTATCTTTTAATCTTCAAAGGAGGAAGACGGAACAGAGGGAGAAGGAGATGAAATCAGGAAAGAGTTGGTGGTCCGCGAAAAAGCGTCCGTTTCTAGACGCACATGACGACATTATTGCCGTCACTGATCTTCGTCGTGCTTTGATGATGACGCGTTCCATTTCCGGATGATCCGACGCCTCGGTAGCGGACACAACGGCAATACTCATCGATGAATCAGGATGACTACGATACGTCGCTGGTCTCCTCTCGTGTCTCGCGACTGATAATAACAATTACGCAGCGATGGAAAGAATTTCATGAACACACGGCCATCGTATAGTCACGCACTTTGATCGTTTTCACCGTCGAGCCGATCGACGGCGATTATGTTTGCTAGTACGTTGAGTACGTCCTACGTACACGACATAATTGTCTGCGGCGTATTCCTGTTGGACGCCGGTGACTGTTGACGTCAAATCTTCGCGTCGAGAGGATCGACCGTGATACGATGATCGTCACGGCACCAGCGATCACTGTTTCATCCTCGATGAGCCATTGCAATCCGTGGTGACGATGTGACGAATCGGCGAAGACCGCTGTCAGTAGACCCAAGAAACGGGCACCCATTGTGGTGTCGTGTGAACGCGTTCAATTGCAGCCTCCAATTGGGCGATCGTCTCGTCGAGATCGTTGTTCACGATGGTCAAATCGAAGAAATGCCCATATGCTTGCTTCAGCATGTCCGACTCTTTCGCCAAACGTTCTAAACTACCGTCGAACTGAAAGCACAAGAGACATTTATATAAAAATCGTATTTGCTTAATAGAAAATCGATTCAGTTCGAAAATGTTCAGAATATAATTTTGTGATGTAATTTTCTATGAAAACATTTTATCCATCTATTTTACGTTTCTTTTTTAATGAGTGTCTCGTATATTTTCACGCCGAATACTTATACGTTTAAATAATTCCATATATTTTTTTTTATGAAAATGAAGTAAATTTGATTACGCATTTAATCCAACGTAGAATAGGGAATGTAATAGTCTTTACTTATATGTATTTATATGAATTATATTTATGTCATCATCAAAATCCTTTAATGATTTCCTCTCAAGTGTATTAACGGACTGCTATCAGTCGATTAGTCATTCAGAACAAGTGGAGCGGTAATTGTTTGCCCGATTAATCCGGCAAATTCATAATTCATTTGAAGATCACTGAACGGTTTGCTTAATTGCTTAATTGGCGTGCCAAGTATTCCTACTCGCATCACACATCAAGAATCAAGATACGTTCAGCTTAAAGAGAATATTTGCTGATATCGGTGATCTGTGTATACGTACTCTTCGATAAGCTCTTTAGCTTGTAACTTGCCGTTGTATTATGTGAATTATTGTAGATCCTGTTAAACATTAATCTCAGTTTACATGGTAAATGTTTTAAGGCTAGTATGTTTATGTTTTAGTTAGAAAACGTGTACTGTAGAAAGGTAAATTAGCATATTCTTTCTAGACATGCCGTTCTTGATTAATTATACATCGTTGTTTAATGCGAAAAGTAAATACTCGTAACGTTGCAATTTAAAATTATCTCGTTTTAAATAAAATCTCGTAAATATATCTCGTATATATAAATTTATCTCGTAAAAATAAATGATTAGCAATTGCAAATAAAATTTTAAAAATATGTATATTAAACAAAAAACAATAAAATATATAATTAATATTATCAATTATAATGTACATAATTAATATACTTCAATTATTGTAAAATTATAATTCAAAGAGAGAGAGAGAGAGAGAGAGAGAGAGAGAGAGAGAGGGAGAGGAAAATTTTATTCAATTTTTTATATAGCTTTATGTTATACAAATTTATATATATTTTTTATTATATATATTTCTTCATGTGAATAAAAAAAATATTATATTATAATAAAATTCATTCGTTAAATTGTTATGCGAGCTACAATTTGCGAAAAATATCCAAAATAGCAGTTTTTTA